ATCTACTAGTTGCAGGTCTTACGAAAAGTGAAGGTAGCTCCCTACCAGAGCTGGTGAGCATGGCCACCTGGCACTGCCTGCTCCAGTGCTCGAATCACCTGACAGCACTGAGAGCAGAGAAATCTGCCCAGACCGGGACTTACTGAGAAGACATAAAGCCGGCCCCCACCCCCAAAATGCCCAAATCAGAGAGGCAAGAGGAAAAACAATTTTTTTAATATATTTTAGAGTATTACCAGAAGGTAACCACATTTAAAAGGGCAGCTGTAAACTCTAAGGACAAATACATAAAAATACGAAGAAACCCCTCCTACCCACAGCCCTCACATGAAGGGTTTTTCCTGGAATTTTTGCATAGCCATCAAAATTTCACTTATAATTTCGGGATTTCCAGGCCAGTACTGGTCACTCCCTGCTCACCCTATGTAGATTATGATTTTCTCACGTTTACAGAGCAAAGTTCTGTCAGTGAAATTTTATGTGGCTTCTAAGTTACTTTCAGCTGCAGCATTCCACCTTAGGGAATGCTTCACTTTATTATCTAACAGTTCAATCAACTGATTTAACAGAGAGGGGTGTGGAATCACTGTATAAGAGAAGACAGTGTGCCGACATACTCGAACTCCTACTCTAGGACCCACTCTTCTAAATATAAGTATTTAAGACAGATGTGCAAGAAATTACTATTTTTTTAAAAAAAGATTGTTGTTTAAAGTAAATACTATCTCAAGAGAACTTTAAACAAACTGGCTTCCACTATAAGCACCATTCCCAAATAAACTTATCATCCCCTAGAATCAAGTACATTCAAGGGCTGAAATGTCACGTCACTCATATATTACTTCAACCTCAATAAATCTCTCCTTACTCTTCAAATCCTAAGCTGCTTTCTAAAATTGTTCCATAAAAAGCACCAACCTAATTAACAACAGTTTCCTCTGCAACAGTGCCCTTGATTTCACTTATTTACACATTAACTGCAGCCTCTTTTTGGCCAATCCACTCTATTCTCTGTACCATGCCGAGCCTTTTATCTGCCCTGGACAGCATTTTCTCCAGCAGATGAAGTAGATGCCGATTGATTTGCTGTCGAGCATGGTAAATTAATAGCAACAAATTGCTGAGGGCCCGACTCGCTACTCCACCATGCTTCGGCAGTTTTGCTTTATTTGCTCCATGATGGGCAGCAGTCGGCCTCTTCAAGTCAATTTCTTCTTAACAACCTGCAATACTTTTCAATGGTGAAAATAGAGCTGTTCCTTGTAAGTCAGAAATCAATATCCTATTGCCCTTAGAAAATGCTAAACAAGCAGTATTGGCAATCCACTTGGTACTAGAGGGTATCAGATATAATGCAAATCCATACTGCTTCCCTCCTTGTAGTTATTACAGTTTGCTAAAAGGTTCCTAATGTCATTTATCATCATTTACCATCGACCAGAAAGGCTATGATTATGATATCCTATCAGTTGGCAAGGCCCTTTCATTTCTATTCAATTAATATTTTAGCAGCACTCAAATGGTTGTTGCCTAAGTCTTGTAATAAAATTTACATGGCTTGAAGTGGAATAGGAGTTTTCTTGATATGGTTTTTTAAAGGAAGAGCGTCTCACTACAAATATAATAACACACATGTGTCACACACACACACACACACACATAAGCACAAAAATATTCATACTTAACTGCACGGTAATCACTTCTTTCAAATTCTAAGTGTTCCAGGATTCTAAACTTTTCTAAGGAATTCTGAAATTCAAATACTAGCCTGAATTTCTGTTGATGCAAAGAGCACTTCAGATTATAAAGCGTTAACCACAGAAAGTCAGAAGCTGATGGGTAAGGCTCTCCTCTCCAGAATGTGGTATATTCTTCGTACAATTCCTACAGGTTTAATTCACTTTCCTATTGTTCTTAACCTATATCCAATATTCACTTTTTAAAGCCCTAAGTGCTGCTGTCAGATTAAATCAAGGAGGGCTTCCTTAATTACAGCATTCCAGGTGAAAGATGCGAACAGGCATTTAGCAACGCTATCAAGTGCACGCATCTTCATGTTCTGCCCAGGATGGCTAACCCGTTTAGAAGCCATACTGTATTTTTAAAGAGGAAAAATCAGTGGAAAGTGACAGCTCAACTCTGGGCCCAGTTTCCCTTCAAAAACAAAAACAAAACCCCCACACTCAGGGATACAAGCCCAAGATTCTTTTGTTTTTAAAAAAAATTCTGTTGTAAAAAGATTTTCTAAATACGATCCATTTGTCATCTTTACTTTCACACTAGAACTTAAGACAGCAGCGAAGCATTAACTCACATTATAGCCTAGTAGAACACTCCACTCTGAACTGTACCAAGGTTTTTTCCCAGCCTCATTTGCTCAGCTCTATTGATCCCACTAAAGATAACCCAAAATTAGATTCATGTTTTATGCTCTAATTCCATGTCATGTCACCGAGTACTCTTAAAAATAAAAATAAAAAATACACAACCAATTCTACCCGACTGATGCTATTTACTCAGTTACCAAAATTTAAATTAATTATGTTCTCAAACATAATTGTTAAAAATTGGCAACATTATGCAGGCTTAATTAAGATTAAATCCAATTTACTAAATGTACTTTAATTGGTACTAATTACATTAGCTTTCATTTCAGAATGACAAACTCCCCATAGGTTTCATTTTATAGTCCTCTATCAGAGCCAGCCCAGGGTGACTGATGATGAGCATCCAACGGTAAGGGGGGAGCAACACCTACCCCCCCTTGTCACTGCTCTGTGCTTTTATCCTTTTATCAATTTGCTAAGTCACAGAGTCATGACTCCATCACAGCCATCATTTTCTGTTCCAATGAAAAATTTCTCTAAAAATGAATACTCTGTGGCTGGCTGCAGCCAAGAACAAGAGCAGTAACCCAAAAACACACAACGGTTTCAAATATCAGGGCCACCAATTACGAGGGGGCACTTCCAAGGACTCCAGGGACTCCTATTCTTGAACCCTTCGAGACACAAATCTAATAAGTGAATAAGCCTAACCCGATCTTGAGAACTGGGCCCAATTATGCCGCAGGGCAATTTCCCTGCATTATTGCTGCTTTCCATTACAAGGGCATCCACTGAGTGCATCTGGAGGAGAGGCCGAGAGGAACCAAGGCTATCTGCCTAGGAAAACAAATAAAGACAGATATGCCTCTGTGCTTAAGGGGGGAAAGAGAAAATATAATAAGTAGGTGGTTTGCTGGGCTGTCTGTAGCTCATAATGTGATAAACTGCCCCCAGGATTCTTGATATGATTGAATTTAAAGGGGGGGGGTGGAAGGAAAAATGTACTCCGTTCTCAATTTTAAATGGATAGCATTTGAGGCCAGCTGGACAAGAAGATGACAGAATTACAGGGGTATAAAGTGGGTAAAATGAAGGGATCTCACATACTAAAAAAAAAAAAAAATCGTATTTGGCCGAATACAAGTTATAAGCCTCTCAGAAATGTGGAGGGCATAAGAAATCTGAAAACAAGTAGTTAAGGTAAACAAGATACAGAAGAACGAGAACTAAAGGGGTATTAATCATCTGATCCATCTGATCTTTGGAAAGACATTAATTAATCAGGGGTTGGGAGCATAGGAAAGAAACAAAAAAGACATGCAAAATCCAGATCTAAAGTAAAATGTAATGAGTATAGTTAACCAACAGTCTCTGATGTCATTTACTCTTGTGAACAAGATCCATCCATACCATGAATGGTGTTTGTTTAGGTAGAAGATATTTACATTTCTAATCTAAACAGAAATGGCAAAGATGTCAAAATAAGGATTTCATTTTTAACATGCAGCATTCAAATTACACTGTAACACTAATATTGACATAACCAAGAAACAGACAACATAAAACAACAACTGAAATAAAGACCTCAGTTTAACTTTTTGCTTTCCAAATCTGTCCTGTCTAGCAGCCTTCCAAGATCTACTGTCTATTATCCGAGCACGTGAACAGCCATACCCAAAAAAGTCGCCATTTCATATTGTCTAATGACATCCATACCTTGAATACAAGTCGGCAGAGTTCCTCCTGCCTTTTCCCAACAGGCACACATATACACACCCATTTTGAAATGGCTAATGAAACTCGAAGCATCTTCACTAGCAGACTACTAAAAATGTTTGCAAGAAGAATTACTATTACCAAACAATGTACAAAGTGTGTGCAATATGGGTAAGTATGTATATAATGACATACACACACATATATGTGGGTGTCGTTTTTTTTTCTGTCTAGGAAACTTAAGCCAAACGATTCTATTCAATGGGGGAGGGGGGGGAGGGTTTGAGTCATACCTCTCAACACTTTCCATCTAATCATTTCCTCTTTTTTTTTTTTCCTTTGGGCTGAACTAATTGCTAGATTTCAAAACACAGTGTTGAACCTCATCACATCCTTCTAGCAGGCTCATTTGCTCTGTACAAATTTTGGAAGCAATGGTTACAGTTCCTGCTAAGACTCAACTAAGTAGCCTCCTGAGGCCAATACAAGGATTTTACATCAATTTCTTCTGTAGCTCCACAGATTTCACGTTGATCCTCCCAGGTCACCTTCTAGCCATTCTTTCACATCGAGCCACGTAAGGTAGGGCTCCACACTACTTAAATATCACTTTTTCATATTTCCCAACAAAAGCTCTTTCATAAATCAAGTGTGCAATGACCAAAACAGGTCATATAAAAGGAAAACCACATTATATGCAAATTCAGAATCCTGATTTTAAAATGTATGTTTTAGCAAGTATTCAGACAATCAAAACCACATTTTAAAATCACTGAAATTAAAAGAATAGCTTAAAAGGCTGAGAAGCCATACATGAAAAAATAAGATTCAATCCGTACCATCTTTTAAAAGACAAGCAGTCACAAAAACATGCAAAATAAAATTACAAACACAATACTCTTTTAAATTATATCATATTTACCTACTAGCACTTAAAAATGGGTACAAATAACTTACCTGCTTATGCATTTCTATATTCAACCCATAGGACATTTCATAATACTGTCAATGAAGAAAAAGGAGCCAAATTAGTGTCTGTCAACAAGCAATCTAAGTTTCTTCAAAAAGGTCCCAAAATAAAATGTAAGTCAAAATATACAAAATGCGTATGCCTCTGTATTGGGGGGGGGGGGGGAAGACAGCCATGGTCTTTAGTCTAAGAAAATAAGGACTATAAAATAACTCCTAAAACTGAAAAAATGAAGTTCAAACATAGCCGTTTTAACACCACTTTTTACATCTTAAGTGGACAAACCAAAAAATCCTGAGGATCCAGTACCACTCTCATCCCCAGGCATGGGGTCAAGCTAATGGCAAAAGCGTTTCTCCTGCAAATGCTGATGTTTCAAGCAAACTATTCAAAAGGGGGTGCTACTGAAGAGCTGAGTTCTTCATTTTTCATGTACTGCTCACATTAACACATTCAAAGGAAAGACTCCTGATAAATTATGAATGAATTAATTGGGAGCATTCAAGAACACACACACAAATATATTTAATTCTTGTAGTGGAAAAAAAGAACTGTTTTGGGGTGAGTTTTTTTTTGGAGGAAGCTATGTAGTATAACTTACATTACAGAAATTCTTACAGTACAAACCAATTATCAAGATCACAACACTTCTCAAACTAAGACAGTGGCGCGCGCGCACGCACACACACACACACACACACACACTCCCAATTAGTAACAGCAAGCAAGTAAAGACTAAATCTGACAAGGGAATCTATCGACTTTTCTTATGCATCATTCTTTAAAAGTACCACAGCACATTAAAACCTTAACAGTATATAGAAAAACTGGTCAAAATTGTTTGGACTAAGAGCAATAAAACAACAAAGAAAACCACTAACACAGAAACATTTTACTTGTGACTCTAAGCAAAACACAAATGAGGTTTTGTTTTTAATTTTTTTTTTCCAACTATAAAAACAAAGCACAGAAAATTACACCCCACGCAGCTGAACTTTCTGAGAATTCAAATCAAAGCTGGTTGTCAAAGGCAAGTTAGAACATCCAAGAATTACAGGTTGTTAATAGACACATTCCCACAATCTCAACTCTACTGGCACGCAACTAAGATCTATCCTGCAGCCTCCAGCAAATTCTCGCTTTTGGTATCTCAAACTAAGAGGCACTTTGAAATCTGTGACACAGTTTTCTTACCATGACATAATGCCGTTGCATCTCTGTCTTCTCACTCGCTAGTTTCTCGCACTCCAGCTTCAGGCTGTGGGAGACATAATGAAATCTAAGCACAACTCAGAACTTGACTTACATCCTTCAAATCTAAATCTAAATACACAAGCCCTCCTCCAAATCATCACCTACCAGCACCAAATCAACAATCTTCAGCACTGCCATTATTGAAGGGGAGAAGAGAAACAGGTGATTACAACCAGTCTAGACTGGCCCTCTCAATAAAGATCAAATGTGCTGCTGCTGTTCTTAAGTTTTAACAGAAAAAGAAATCTTAGTGAAAATGCATATTCACATCATATAATCATTTAAACAAAAAGAAATAATCAAATTCTCTATATCCAAGTCCAACTATGTCCCTCAAAACAGCACAAGGGATTTTTTTTTCTTCCATGTTCCCAGACCAGATTAATAAAATATATTAATCAAATACATCTTTCATTCTTCCAAAACTGACAGGGTGACTACCCACGAGCAAAGCGTTATCCCGTTCAACAGCAATAGTTCTCCCATTTACAAAATATGAATTAGAGAGCATTGGGCAGCTAGCGGAAGTAAAATGTTTGAAAACCGCTCTAATCTCTTCTGAAAGGAAACATTTTTCCAGCATAAAAGTAATGAAATCGCTCACTCGCGACTGTTCCAGGCTCTGGTCTCTTGGTATTCCATTGGGCCAGGAGAGAAGGAAGATGAAATCAAGCCCGGGGCAATAAAGAACTAAGGAAGTCAAAAGGTCCCTGAATCTCCCCAACCTCCCATTCTCTTGGCCCCAGTAAATCAATATCGAAAGTTTGGCCTCAGCGGTTTGCAAGACTCCCCAGTTTTGATTATGCTGTCTAGTCTTCTAGTTTTGTTGTGCGTTTGTTGTTTTTTTTGTAATTTACGAGACAAATGTTTCATTTCTTTACACCTGCCTAAGAGCAAAGAGGCCCTTCTACTCAAAAGAAAAATGATAATAATGCCTTTGTGGCAGCAAAATCGTGGGGGTTCAGGGGGAAACCAGTGTTTTGTGTGTGGGTTTGGGGGGTGTGGAGGAGACAAGCGCTAAGCAAACAAGAGGATCAGCTAAAGTCAATATCATTACCTGTGGTATTGGGCCTGTAAAAACTGAAACTCTTCCTTAATCCGATCACAGGACTCGGAAATTGTAAATTTAAAGGGTTGAGCAGGCTGATGGGGTGCCTAAAGAACAATAAAATATTTAATTAGCCCACATCACAGGGAGGCAGGGAGCTGGGGAAACACAACACGCGGCGCTCGCAAAGTGGGGGTCGTCTCCCGGGGAGGAAAAGAGCCAATAAAACTCTCCTCCCGCCCCCTCCTCGCGTCCACCAGCCGGGGCAGGCGAAGGTGGCAGAGGGGCCCCCGATCTGCGAGAACCCCAAGGGTTCGAGAACCCGCTCCCTCCCCGCCGAGGGTCTGCGCCCCGCGCCCACCCCCTCCGCACCCGGAACCGAAAGTGGCCCGTCGGGGGGACTCGCGCCATAAGTGTCCGGCGCGGCCAGGCTGGAGGAGGGGACGCGCACGGGGCAGCGCCACCCTCCGGGACCGCCGGCTCGCCCGGGGTCCGCGCCCCGCGCCGCCGTCGAGAGCGCCCCACCCCCATGGGGATCGCAGCGCGGGGACGGCCAGCGGCTCGGCGCGGCTTCCCGGGGCTTCAAAGACAACAATAAGAAAATGGCTACAACTCAGTTGCCTCCGCGCACCCCTCTCGGAGAGCGGCACCGCGCTGGGGGCGGTGGTAGCGCGCGCGGATGGCGGGCCGAGCCCCCAACTCAGCCAGGCCGGGGGCAACAGGGGGCACGCAAGCCCGCGCCCCACTCACCGGGTGTCTGGTCTGCGGATACATCTTGCTCAGGTCGCGAATCATCCAAACAGATTTAGTTGGCTGCTCTAGGCAGAGGCGCGCGGCTCATTGGCTTCAATGGTCCTGAAGCGGCGGCGGCACAGGCGGCCGCCAGGTCCGAGGGCAGCGCGGGCAGTCCTGGTCCCGGCGGCTCTGGCGTGACGCGGGCCGGAGGGACGCGCGGCGGCTGGCTCCCGGCGCCCGGGCCGCTCCGCATTCCCCGCGGGCGTCACTTGCCCGCCGCAGGCATCGTCCGGCGCGTCTCCTGCGACCACGCTCCGCCGCCCGCTCCGCCGAGGCGTCCGCCGAGCCCCGCGCCGGTGCCCCGTCTCCGCTCGGCCGGCAAGTGCGAGCTCCTCGCCCGGCCACCCCCTGGCAGCGCCGCTGGCCCGCTCGCTCGGCGCCCTGCTCCAAACTTTTTATTTGTCTTTTAATTGGTTGTTATTCCTCCGAATGAATGATCTCTCTTCTTTGCTAAAAGCAAACACAAACTCCTCTGGTTCGGAAGAGGTCTCGGCGGTGCTTTTTAGTTTCTCGGAGATTTTTTTTTTTTTCACTTCACAGCAACGATCTTTTAAAAGGCACCTTTTAGCTTCTTTTACCACATCTCATTTCCTTATTTTTCTTCCTTCCTGTTTTTTTTAACCCCAAATTGAAGGGGATTATAAAAATAAGAGTGAAACGCTTGCGGCTTTTTTTTTTTTATTCTCTCTCCTTTCAAACTCTGCGAACGCCACCTCAAAATAATATACAAGTGTGTGAGAGAGGGGGGAAGAAATCAGCCAAAAGCCCAAACACCCGCTCAGAACAGCTCTAACAACACGCTCTGTGTAGGTGACTTCTTTGACCAAATTTAGCAGCAGCTAATCATTAACATTCTGATACATATTCACTATGGTCTGCGAGGGATCGCGGAGCATCCCGGGAGATGTAGTCTGTCGACAGCGACTAAGGCGGAGGATTTGGGCCGATTGACTACAATCACCGGCCCGCCCCGCGACTGCTCTGGGGCGCTCTCTAAGCGCTCCGCCCACTCCCGGCGCAGTAGGCGTCTTCAGCAGCCAATCAGAGATGGCTGAGCATTAATCGCCGCTCTGTGTTACTGCCCATCATTTCACTGCTGACAAATGGCGAGCCAGGGAAGGCAGAGCCGACAGGGATGAAACCCACGTGGGGGCCGGGTGTCGCCTGCGGCTTCAACCAATGAATGGCACGAACTAGGGTTGGCAGAGGCGGGGCGGAGACGGCCCGCCCAAGGCGGAGCTTCGCCTTGGCTGACGTTCTTAGCGCGAGCGTTCGAACCAGGGAAACATTTGTTCAGCTGTCAATCAAAGTAACGTGGGACCGGGCGAAGCATCGGTGGCTGTTGTTGCTGCTGCCTTGGCTGCATCTTCAGAACTGGGTGTTGGTGGTGGCAAAAGGAAGGGGGTGAAGGGGCGGTGAGACTAGGGGTTTGTCGGAGATCTCCTTCCGAGTCTAGTCAGCCCTCCCACCCTAAACACTCGGCCCCTTGTTCCGCGGCCGCGCCAGCAATGCGGACTAATTAGGGTCCAATGTGTCCTTAAAGAGACAAGCTCGGCCTTGTGTAACGCGCCGAAACCCCTGTTGAGACAAGAGAGGGAGGATCACGCTGATCCCACTTCGTTCGGTTCACATCAATTTTACGCGCCGCTGGAGCCGGCATAATTTTCCGTGTGAACGCCGACTCGGGCCCCTGCCCTTGTTTAGAGCCTCAGACGAGGCTGCGCGACGCTGGCCTGGGAGGGGGATCGAGACGGCAGGCGGAGGCGCCCCGCGAGCCTCGGAAGCCGCTGTGATTGCCGTTTAACCCCGAAGCAGAGTCGCTTCCCCCTAACAACTCTGGCAGGAAGCGCCCCAAGGTGCTTCGCCCGGGGGGGTGGCCTCCTCTGTGAACTCTCGTGATGGACCGCGGGATTCCCTGTAAAACTTTGCCTAGGGGTCCACCGTAGGCGAACATTCAATTAGAAGGGCCCATCGGGGAAGAAAAATGCTCCTTGGGCATCTCGGAGATGCTTGGGCACCCACACCCCTCCCCCAGCAGCCCCTTGGAGTATCAAGCCTAAAGTGTCGCAAGGCCGCCTGCAGTGGGGCGGGAGCTTGGAAGGTGGCACGCTGGAGACTAGAGCAAGGCCGATACAGGATATGGAGGGACGGCATATGTTTTGGCAAGAGAGAGTGAGCGCCCCTCAGCAAAGGCTGGCCTCAAAGAGGGCTGACTGTTCCTACATTCAGAGCTCTTGCCCAGCGTGCACCCAGTTGAGGGGGGAATCTTTGGGTCTGCAAGCCTTTGTTCTTGTGAGCCTGACTTTTGGTGGGAGTTGGGGAGGAATTTGGGGAAGGTTCAAGTGGGGAAGGGACTGGTAGCTAATGTTTATGATATTCAAACATTCGTTTTGTGAGCATCCTTTGCCTATTATGGCTTGAAATACTGTCTTACATGGTGCTGTTGGTTCAGCATTAGAAGGACGTCGTTTTGACAGTATCACTTTCTTCAGTGGACGAATGAATGATTTAATATCCATTCCCGCGCTTCTGCTGGGTCTCCTTGCTCTGCCTGGCCACCGGAGTGCTGGTACAAACCTGCCTCACCCCTGCGGACACTCTAGAACCATAGCTAGCCGAATGTCTCCATTCAGCGGACGACGTTGGTCCTCCCTACCCAAAAAAATAAGAGGCCAGGAGAAGGCCTGTCATCCAATACTTAATCCGCAGGTGCTTGTTGAACACTAGAAATATGACTAACAATAAGATGGGCTCTCAGTACACATGCACATTATCTTTCAAAGTTTGCATCTGTATGAAGAAATAGTGCAGCCATTTTTATAATGTGGAAATTATAATGATCTAGTAAGTTAAAACAAAACTTATTACTATTATTTATTTAGGGAGCTCTGATGGCCATCTGAAAAGAGTTGTGCTGCCACTCAAAAGCACCCTCTGCATTAAAACTCGTCTGCCACTCTGGAGGGGAGAGAAGGGCAGTCTTCTCCTCTGCCATGTACAGCCCCTGCTAACCCTTGATAGGGCATGTTAGGAGTTTACCTTGTACAGTACTGTTCAGAAACGTGCAAGGATCAAAATTTAGAAGACTCCAGTGACACAATGTCTACACCGCGGCAGTTTTTCTTCTAAGAACACCAGCAACAACAACATTCTATCCCAAGGTCTGTTATTTGCTCCTACTGGAGCTGTCCAATAATTGGTTAAATTGCCTGCTGTGGGATTTACTGTTGGGAAATTCCATGTTCTCTGGTTTAGCATGTTAGCAAGCTCCATAAGAACAGGGACTTAGTTGTCTTCATGGCTGCACTCAAAATGCCTAGAACGATGTTTGGCACATAGTTGGTGCTCAGTAAATATTTGTTGATGACATTAATACATGAATGCCGTGTTGTGTCTGTATAGAAAACTTCTGAATCATCTGGGCTGTATTTATTGAGATTCTGTGCTGTTATTTCCCAGGGCAAGAAAGGAGAATTCTAATAATAGAACCTGAAGAGCTATTGAGAGGGTGAGTGGACAAAGGGGAAATTTTGCTCTGTTAGGAAATATCAAACAGCTTGTAGCGGGGACCTTTCTCCTAATATCTCTTGACAGTTTCTGTCAACAGAAGAGTGACTAGAGAAACTAGGATGCTTCTCTTTTTTATTAAGGACTTTTTTTTAATGCAGCACTTGGACATGTTTTGCATTTTGGCTATGTGGCCCATAAGCCATTACCACTCATAGGAACCCAGTGGAACAGAGAAGAGTTGCCCTATAGCATTTCCAAGGCCATAAATCATTACAGAAGCAGGCTAAAGCATCTTTCTCCCACAGAGCAGCTACTAGGTTTGAATGGCCAGCAAAGCACTAAGCCACTGTGTCAACGGAGCTCCTGGCTGTGTGGCAAATATATAAAACTCTCAGTGAAATTGAGGATAGATGCCAAGAGACTCAACGCAAGTCCCAACCCAGACTGCTCACTGGGCTTACAGCTGCTCTTAACCCCTCTGTTCTCTGAGCTTCTCACAAACATAAAAAGTCATATGGACTTAGCACTGAATGTTGTGGTTTCCAGAGTTTTCATGTAAAATGGTTTGGTAGCAGTCATGTTAGGGGTTGGGAGTGGGGGACAATCTTGAAGCACACTTAGCAAGCATACTTAGGTTATGTGTTCCAAATTGTTTTGACACTTTCGCAGAATACTTATTCAGTGCCTAATCTGTGCGACTGTTATTGTTATGTACCTTCATGTTGAGACTAACTCTACTCATAGCTGACCCTCCAGTGGGTTTTGAAAGGCAGTTTAGTCGAACACAAGGAGATTGCCCTTCTTTCTCCTTCCGAGCAGCCGGCTGATGTGAACCGCGTGCTTTTGCGTTGATAGGACAGTTCCTCACCACTAGACCACCAGAGCTCCCTAATCTGTGCTTGAACATGGGACTTTAGCAATACTGTGATCTATTGATTTCTCATTCCTGAGATCCAATTCATCCTCATTGGCTGCCTAGTGAGAATGGATCTGTGCCCTTTTGAGAGTTCCCTTTGCCAGCTTGCACTGGATCTTTGCCAGTGGGGGCACTGGAGAGATCTTGTAGGGGGTGAAAACCCAAAACTCCTGGTTTCCATTTACTTCATGTATATATTCCTGCCATATACCAGCAGCACTGGTATTTCCCACAAAACCCCACTGGGAAGTTTTATGTGGAATGCCTCTGTGAAAGACCTTCCCGGTTTTCTTTGCTCCCCAGAACATGGATTTCCAGCAAACCCCAGAAGGCAGCTCTTCACCAGGGTCCACTTTATAACCTTTGCCACAATCAGAGCCCACTGCTCTTACTCCTAGGCTGTAGGAGTGCTTGGCAGCTTGGGGAAGGTTCTTGCAGGGGCACTTTTAGGCATTGCCCTGGGGCAGTGGCCTCTGCTTTTGCAGGGACCTGAGTCAGAGCGAGGTGTGCTGCTAAGCCAAAGGGGCAGCCTGCTGAAGCATCCACCCAGAACTCCAAGGCACAAAGATGGGCAATCTCCTCCCCTGTGATTTACAACTGCTGAACACCGGCTGGAGGCTCAGTTATCAGTCCAGCTGGGAGTCTGTTCTGACTCAACGGCAATGAGTAAGAGAAGTCTTCCTACCAGCCAGTCTCTCATTCTCTGTCATGTCTGAATTCTGTGTATGAAACTTCCGTTGTTTAGATAACTAGGTGATTTCTCTCCTAACTGGGCCCAGACTAATACATTAAATGATGCAAGCAGGACCTCTTCCATGCTGAAACTTGAATTCTATTGGAGAAAAATAGATAGTTAAACAAGTGATAGTATAATAGCAAGAAGATGGTAAGTCCTGTGATGAGAAATAGGGTAATATCAACATGCCTGGGTCCTGGGGGCTGCAAGCTGCATTCTATTACTAAGCTAAAGGTTGATGGTTTGAACCAAAACTTGTGGCATCGTGGAAGAGCACTTTGTAACATATAGCGTCCCCATGCATTGAAATTGATGAAGTGGCAATGGGCTTGGTTTGGCTTTAGGTCTGAGTGCTGAAAGTGATGGAGCTAGAGTTCAGATGAGAGGTCATAGAAGACTGCTCAGAGAAGGTGACAGTTAAGAGGCCTGAATGCCAAGAAAACACCAGCTAAGAGCAAAGGGAATTAAAGATCATGGAGAAACAAATGTCAGGTGAATGCAAATGTCCTGTTAGAGAAAAGTTGGTGAGTATAAGGATTTTTTTTAATGTGTTGACATGTGCCAGAAAGCAGTGTGAGGTTAGGTAACACTCAGTAAGGCGTTTTGTCTGTATTCTGAATGTAATGGAAACCTATGAATTGGGGTAAGGAGGGGGTAGATGCATGCTGTCAGAGGATCATTGCAGATGGTAAAATGGCTTTAATCTGAAAAGCACCTTTTCCATATTTAAGAATATCTATTCATTTCGTTCTGGCTAATAAGTTATGGAGGTAGCATTACTACCCTAAGCAGACTCAGTGGTGCACAGATTGATTAAAGAATTCTGCTTCTA